GAGGACATACGCTAATCGTAACAATCATTTGACCAAATAAGTAATATTTGTTCACAACCTTTTATTTATGCGAACTAGAGATATGGTTTCAATTAGAAACTTGCTGAGCGTCATCAAAAACCACTAATTCAGTAATTTTTGGAAATACCTCGAGCGGGTGATAAGCGCACTTGTGCCCTAAAGCTACCACATGGTGCAGCAGAAGCAATGCTACCTGTGCGATAAAAAGTTCGCGCGATTTTTCCGTCTCTTATCATAAAGCACAAGCCTTGTACCTGCTCCGCGAGGGGTAACTTTAGAGCACTACTGCGCTTCTCACGCGTTCACAGTCTTTCTACAAATTACTGATTTAGTGGTTTTGAATGACGATCAGTAAGTTTCTAATTGGAGCCATATGTCTATGTTCACCAATGAAAAAGTCATCAAACACATTTTGCTCAATTAGCCGACTAATCGTTTCGATTATCCTCCTACACCATGTCCCCGTATAACTCACCTGCGCCAATCGCATAAATGTAGTATTCACGTTTTTTTTTCCTTAGCAAAAATGTCATTGTGGCGCTAAATGTAGCAGACTTCCTCTCATCGCCCAATTTGGCCCAAATAGCGCAGAATTCCCTGTCTGAAGATGTATTTGTATCAAATGTCTGGGCTCCATGAAACTGACAACAAAGGATTGCTGAGTTCAGTCGCTGCCTTGGATTCCCCTTGCACTCGAAGAGACGATGGCAGTGGGATGAACTTGAATGAGGTTCTTCCACAGGCTGCACTCCACCGGTGCCCGACTTCATCAAGCCGAAGCCGTCATCAAGACCTGGATCGGCAGGGACGAAGCGTAAGTTCGAAAAAAAGGGAAATGTCAGGCAGAAATGTCAGGAACGAATCGAAAAACACACGCAACAAACTGATGTATCCGAGAGAAAAAAAGAAGAAGGCGTACACAATTTCTTGTATATATACACATTTCAAGCATCCACGAAAAATAATTTCAACATGCTCGTCGCTTTGAAGTCTCGACTAAGCATTTTCCTTACTAACAAAAAGGGTTTCGTGTTTTCGGAGTTTATTCTAAAACCCGGATCGTTTTTTTTTTTTTTTTTTCGGAATTCATTTTTTGCCGTAAAATCGCGGTTTTTCGAAATTTACGTTTTCCATATCTCTAATTCTCTGAAATTCGAAGTTCGATATTGCTGTACTCCCAATTTTCTCAAATTCAACATTAAAAATAGGTAATATCCGGACAACAATGTACGCACAATTTATAAAAACTCGACCGCATCGAACGATATTTCTTAAACTTAGATATCGTTAGTGCTCTTTACGTTGAGACTACTAACTGTTCCACGACAAAACTTGGAAAAAAGTGTTGCCTGAAAAAAGGTTTAAAGTCACAAAACTCTCGGACGTGGTCGGAAGCATAGAAACTTCACTTGACATCTTCTCCTCCTATAGGCTAGAGAGGTTCATAGCTTTTACTCTTATTGTCCTGAACGAACCCTGACGAGATAAAAGGTAAACCACCTTTGGTCAGCACTCCGAGATTTAAAAGAAAACTGAAATGGCCTCGGGACCACTTACCCTGTACTCCCTCCTACCAAGATTTTTTTTTTTTGGAAATACCATCCTTTTTCTTTATCTTTTTTTTTTTTTTTTTTTTTTTTATTTTCAGGATTTTACATAATAAATTTTCGGATAAATCCGCATTGACGAAAATTCTACTGGCTAATGTTTTCTTGTTTTTTTTTTCTATTTTTTTTTCTAATTTTTTCGGATATATCTGGAAACACCGAACCTTATATTTATAACTTATAAAGGAGATACGCGGATGAACGATCAAAAAGTCATAAGGAATCCAAAAAAAAAGGGACCAAACGCATTTTTTCTCTCTTTTTTCTTAAACGAGTTCCACGCATCTCGCTTCTCTTTTGTAAACGCCGAAGATTTCAGCGTTATCCAATGATCAGACGAAATGTGTTCGATTCGTCTTACAGAGACCTCGGCCAGTGCCGCCGCAGGATCATCCGGGAAAGAGAACAGGCCCCCCAAGGTTGGTATCATGACGTCACCGAATGGAGGCCAACGCAGGGCAGGGGTATCGGACGGAAGTGCTGCCTTAGCGTTCGGCCGAAGCTGTGCCGCATTGGCCTCATTTCGATGACGCGGAAACTTCCGTCTTACGGCCTTGCGCCTAAGGCGGCTCAGTGCGACGTAGTTTTGTGCCCGACTTGGCGACACGTTTTCTGTAACAGTCAGTTGGGTGAATGGGTGGACGATTGTGGCTGAAACCTTCTCATCGAGCGGCGGCTGCTAAGCCACCTAGACAAAGCTTTTATTTCAACAATTAACTCACGACCACGGTGCCACAGGACCGGAGCAAAAACGGGACGGACAAAACAAAGCTCCAGCTTTGTGTTGTCCGTCCCGGTTTTCCCCCGCTCATGGGTTAGCGTGTCAGCATTCAATTAGCTGGCCTGCACACCTGCTTAAGTTTCAATTATCCAATGTCGCATATAACAAAAAACAAACAAAAAAACAGTGAGGCTACACTTTTAAACCGCATACTTCTACATTCTGAAGTAATGGAGCGTGGTAACGAAGCCCATATCGCTTCGCTACATGCATTTAGCATTCGGTCATAGGTGCACTGCAATGATCGAGCAAAATCCACGACTATGACGTCAGTCGACGTCATGTCCGACGTCACGTGCTCCGCCCTTTCAGATCGCCGTGGCGGGAGCAGCGACGCCCCTGCAGCGTGGAAGTTCCCGCCTGGCTTCGAGGCCCTGCGTGAAGCCACTCTCCGCTGCGCAGGGGAAGCAGGAGGAGGAATACGGTACGGGGACCCGTTTTGTGCTTGACGCGGGAGTATTCACTATGAATATCGTCACCGTTATTGTCATCGCATCTTGATCAATGACGGGAAGTTCCATTTTCCCTGAATGTTAAATGTCTACTATTACAAGATTTGAGGAAACCAAACTCACAAGGGATAACAAGATGGACGTCAGGGAATAGCGCTGTGTGTATGTTTAGGCAGCGTAAAGTTAGTCGGCCCCAATGTGCAACTTGTACGTCCGCTGTAGGTGACAAATTTAGCCAGTGCAATAGCATTGCTCGCTCGGGATCTTTGACGCGTGCATCGGGCCTTAGTGATACACGACCGTGCACTCAAGAGCGATGCTCATCCAGATCGAAACGGGCAGGGGTGGGCATATAAATCCAGAATCCACGGGTTCTGCGGCGTGCATGAATTATTGTTCGATGCACAAGCTTGTTTGGGGCAATCGTCATATCGGAATTCAGAAATTCATGGGGGGAGGGGGAGGCGGACCGCCCCGAGTGCCGCTGACCCTAGTGACGCCACTGGACCTAAGGCATCAGGGCATCGGATGAACGGTTCATTTGGTAAGGGGTGACTTTTCTTCGTCCGGTGACGTGCGCAGATCCCGGAGAGGGCACCTCGAGCCAGACGCGGTACCCGAAGCGGAGCCGCAAGTCCGTCAACTACGCCGAGTGCGAAGTTCCCTCCGAGGACGAGTTCTTCTGTGAGTGTCCAGAAGTCCGAAGTACTCGGACAAGAGACCTTCTCCCTTCCCTCAGTGACACCGCATGCTAACTTGAAAACTTAATTCAATATAATGGGGCTACAGAAGTGGGTTGTTCACTGTTGTCCGTTGTGCAGACTGCCTGGAGTGCGGCGAAGACCGGCACGGCGACTGTCCCGTCCACGGACCCCTCGAGTTCGTCAAGGACACACCGGTGAGAAATTTCTACGACTTCCTCGTTGTCTGGCGCGCATCGAGGAGGCATTGTGAGCTTTTGAAATGGCAGGAGCGCGGGGAAGCTGCGAAGACACGGAGGAAGCCATCTGTGTTGGGACAAGAGGGACTTCATGGCGTGATCGAGTTTTCGCTTTCGGGTCCATACCTTACCTGTGTACGACGATAACCTCCCTTGAATTCCGCGTGCTACCCGGGAAAGTATACACGCGGGTTTCGGTTGCTCCAGCACCAGACTGGACATCCAATGATAAGAATCTGCGAACTCTGGTGTACTACTATTAAGTCGTTATCCAGAGTGTACATTGGAGAAAATACACTTCAAGAATCGAGCGTCTATATTTTAGTGATTACATTGGAGGATATCCAGAAAACCCTCGATGGAAACCATAAAAAAGTGTAATTATCTACTACCATAATATTTTGTCAGTGTCATTGAAGTGAACCATACTAAAAGTGGTATTCCCGCCTGCAGGTCTCCTAGTTTTAGCGTACCTGGATGTGTCAGGAAGTATCCGATCCTCGAGCGTCCTATACATATCACGGGTTTGCAATCACAGCCCGAAATGCTTACAGATTTTGTTTTAGTACATATTTTCTGTTAGATTTACAAAATCACAACTGAAACCGCAGTTTTGTCGCCCCGTTCGAAAATAAGTAATAGTACAAACAAATACACGTTCGTTTTTGTCATCCTCGCTGATAAAGTCCTTAAAGTACGTGAGCTCTGTTTATATATTCGTTACAACGTCATATCCGTCCCCTCTGATTAATTCAGGTTCCCCCGGGGGACCCCCAGCGCGCGAACAAGACCCTGCCCGAGGGTCTGACGCTGGCCCGGTCCTGCATCAAGGCGGCCGGGAAGGGGGTCTTCACCCTCAGGCCCCTCCCGGCCAGGCTGTGCTACGGGCCCTACGAAGGCGTGCGCTTCACCGGCTCCGGCGGGGGCAACGGATACACCTGGAAGGTGCAGTGCTCCCTGTGGGCTGCGTGAGTATGCGTGAACTCGAAGGGTCTGAACCTGAAAGGGAGGATGGAATTGTCGGGGTACACACTATGGAATACCATACACACTTATAGGTGTAGCTGGTCTCAAGGATAACATCCTAAGGGTGTTACAGGAACAAGTTTAGAGCGCTAGAAAACACGCTAATACTTTGTGCTCTGGCGGTGCGGCAACCTAAAAATACTTTTTTACTGGCAACAAAGTACAAGCAGCACGCATCACCTTCAGGTTGCACTCGCACAGATAGCACGAAAAGCCGACAATTCAGAGATACCCATTCCCAGATGAGCGCATCCAAAATTACGGAAGTTACAAGTAGGTTTCTTTGTTCTCGTCAGTACCTCAGTTATAGCATAAGAACTCGAAGTTCAAGAAATGTATCTCCAAGTAAACACTAAATCAATGATAATCTGATTTAGGTGCCAAAACAATCTCCTTGAAATGCTTGAGGCGGGTGTAAAACTGATGCGTCACCGCGTGCACTTGCCCGGATCCAGGTGCGTGGCTGGGGCGGCTACCTGGTGGACGCCCGGCCCCTGTCGGAGTCCAACTGGATGCGCTACGTCAACTGCGCCCCGAGCGAGAACAGCCAGAACCTCGTGGCCTTCCAGCACAGGGGAGGCGTCTACTACCAGACAAGGGCCAAGATAGCGCCGGGGACCGAGCTGCTCGTCTGGTACGGGGACGAGTTTGGCGCCGAGCTAGGACTCGTCGAAGCCAAGGACGGAGCCCAGAACAAGCGTGAGTGGGGGACATCGGATGGCAAGGATACGCTGAGTTTCGAAGTTTGCCATTGCAATAAGAATTGGCAGGATTGCACTATTAGTATTAGTTAAAAATTGGCAGGAGTGCCACTACAATGCATAAAATAAAAAAAATAAAAAAGTATCTTTTTTTTTTTAAGTCTGGATTTGTAGGTAGGGTACTCTCCTGAGATATAGTCCACCTAAAATAAATAGCACATTGTGCGAAAATGAGGAGTGGTCTACCTGTCGGTGTACAGTCGAGAAAAGTTGAAAACAAAAATATTTTAGATAATGTGTCTATCAAACATGTTATCGCGGCGAAAGGGCAATGAAACAAAGATGACTGTACTTCCCAGTCAAAAATGTTCGCTTATATATCCTGCCCTAGCTAACCGGGCGCATTTACGCCAAGGGCATCATTGATCCGAACGCTACGATTAGTAAGCGTGGGCTATCTTTCGGTGTTTTAAAGGGGGTTTTGGGGGGTTGCAACGATTTCCGGACTTCGGTCAAACACTTGTGGAAGTTGCCCTCTGACACTCCTAAAGTAAAGAACAGAAAACCGATTTCGACAGCGTGTCCTAATTGCTGTGTAGAAAAAAAAAAAAATAGATAAGTATTGGCATTTTTGGTGCCCCTGTGCTCTCTCGGAGGACGCTTCCTCTCTCTCTCTCTCTGCTGACATTAGCGGGCGTTATGCTGCAGCTTAGAGCCGAGTGAGGTCACGTAATCTTCTCCGTGTGTAGTTCCTTCGGCTGCCCCTCGTTGCTGCAGGTGGGGGGAACAGCTTGACTTTTGCTTTGTGATCATGCAGCGGAATAGCGACATTTTTTAATGAAGGAGGTTTTTTCTGTGACCTCCAGGACATGATAAACAACGTAAAAATTACGAGATGCATATTCGTTTAGTCTTAAAATCGTTGAACCCCCCCCCCCCCCCCCTTTAAAAGAAAATAACAAATCCATCCGAAAATGGGGGGGGGGGGGGGGGGGGCGGGTCACCTTTCGGGGGAGGGGTGTCTCGGGATTTATCCGTAGTGTCTCCCCTTAACTCTCTGCCCCCCTTGCCTTGCTCGTCCATGTGCAGACCAAGAAGAGGCACCGTCCCTCGAAGGGCCAGCGGAGACCTTCGCGTGCGGGGACTGCGACAGCGTCTTCGCTTCCCTCGAACACCTCCAGGGACATCGGAAGAGGATGCACGGGGGGAGAGAGGGCAGGCACCGATGCGGTCACTGTCCCTACTCCAGCGATAAGAAACGAAACCTAGTCAAGCACGAGCGCACCCACACGGGAGAGAGGCCCTTCGTGTGCGGCACCTGCGGCAAGGCTTTCACGCAGGAGGGCAACTTGACCAAGCACCAGAGGGTGCACACGGGCGAGCGCCCTCACGAGTGCGCCGAGTGCGGGCAGAAGTTCGCTCAGCTGGCAGACTTGAGGACGCACGAAAGCACGCACAGCGGAGAGCGGCCCCACGTCTGCCCAGAGTGTGGCAGCGGTTTCGTTACGAGAGGTCACCTCGCAAGGCACAGGCGAACCCACTCCGGCGAGAAGCCCTATGCTTGCCACCTGTGCTCCTACAGGACCTCTGATTTAAGCAACATGAAGAGGCACGTGATTCGGGCGCACTCAAAAGAGTATCCGCACAAGTGCGGGGACTGCGGCAGAGGGTTCCTGCTCCCATGCGAACTTAGAAGCCACATGAGGAAGCAGCACTCCTCCGACGACCAAGAGCGTTAGATGGACTCCGTGATAGGGGAGGGAAGAGGGGCACCGGGTCCTAACGACACTGGGGAAACCCGAAGACAAGGGTGACACCGGCGAGTTCTCCTTTTGCCTTCTAATAAATACATTGTACATAGAAATGGCCTCGGCTTACTGTTCCCCACGAGCGTGTCGTCTAAAAGGGCCACTTTGCCCAACCGTGGGTGTAAGGGTCGACGAAGGCTCTGCGGTGGGCCGTTAGAAGAGAGAGGGATCAAGCTGGTATACGAAAGCGTTGGCGAACAGTTCCCGCGTTGGTGGGCGACTTGAAGAGACGGGCGTATACTTTGCGACGTGAGGTTCAAAACGCGCGTATTCACCCGAGAGAACCGGAACGTGCGTTTCGGGCCGGGAGGACTATCGGAGAGTTCGGTGGTTGGATGGGCAAGGTTAGACCACGTCTGGCGGAATGATCGTCGACGCTGTCCACATCGGGGTCGGCTGTCTGACTCGGCTCGCGAGTTATAAGGAAGATTTTGCTCGCGTTCGAACCCGCCTGACGTTTGGCCGTGAGACGTGCAGTGATGGAAATGCTGCGTCATTCGCGGAAGATTGCTGCATGAAGTGAAGCCTGCTGCATCTTGCGCCAAAATGCCATTTCTGTTAAGAATTGCGCCAAACCTGCCCCGAGACAGGCTTAAAGCAAATATATATATATATATATATATATATATATATATATATTGGTCGACCGTAATATTCAGAGAAGTAGAGGGAAAGAAATATTGTACAAATACGAACTTCACAGCGTCTCTACTCCCAGTATAGTTTGTTCCGTCTTAGATCAGAATAAATCCGAAGACTCGAACACATATAACCACAGACACGCACGCTGACAGCACAAGTCACGCGATATTGATTGGTTTAGACGATTAATGAACACGTACAAGGAGATGACGATTGCCAGGATGTCGCGCTTCGAGGCTGCCAATCAACCGGGCAGATGCGCTGACGCTGGGCATCAAGCGAGGAGAGATACGCGTCCCATGTGCTTAGTTCATCGCAAGCGTAGCTCTTCATTTTATAGCATTTCTTCATCTCAAAAACTGCCTGGAAACGACCTGGCGAAGGAAACACAGGCCTTCCTTTAGGGCGAACGAAGGTAAGAGCGCAGTTACATTGGTCAGGTGACATTGTAAACAGACAGCAAGGTCCTTTTAAAGGTCAAAGTATTTGTTCCAGTGAGTATTTAACTCGGGTTCAGTTTCTACGTAGGAATATTTAAGTAGAAAACTTCTATCTTAAAGAAATATTTCTTTGCAGTACGTCACATCGGCAGCGACAGAGTTGCCAACCAAAAATCGTTTGTCCAAACATGCTAGCCTCATTATAACATAAATTGTGTAGCACTGATACAAAACACGACGTTAAGGATAAAGGCTACGCGCCTTGTACTATCAAAGTCTTTGACGCACTGTACAGTGAGTTGCCTAAGAATGCCTTGCCAGGGCCGTCTCACAGCCTTCCATGGCTAGGAGCCATAAACAGGGAATCCGGGGTATCATTGTCGCCACACAATGAACCCGGAGCCCGCCATCCGCGACCGGCACAGAGAAGAAAGCAAGCGGCGTGTCCATGGGAAGATGAAACAAGGCCATCGCTGCCCCTCCAATCTTCCTATCCAAATGGTGAAGGAAAAACTTCGATGGTGAACAAATTACTAGGTTGTAGATTAACCGTGTTACTAAGTAAAACGTCTTAATGTTTAACTTCTACTGTGGCTTCAGTGGTGTAAGCCAGCCTCGAAATTAGCCCGTAAAAATCTACGCAATCGCACTTAATTTCGCCGGAGGTATTAAAGGGGCACGGACAGGTCAAGATATATTATTATTTTTTACTATCTGAAACGATTGACAACGATGCGTGGACATTATCCTCAACATTTGAAACTTGTGAACGAAGTATTTGTGAAGTAAGCAAACTTTTCCAAAAGCCGAATTTGAAGTTCCCGCGCGATCCGCGCCTGTGCAGTGGCCTCAAAGATTGAGTCGTCCTGCAATTCGAGTTTCTCTCGCGCCTCCGTCCCGGCCCGAAGTGTCGTATTCGCCCGCCTCCCGCAATGGACTGCTTTCCTCCGTGTACCGCCTATCGCTGTGAGCAGACGACGCTTCGCTTTCCAGTTTGAAGTTCTTTGAGGGCCCTTTCAGTGATCTCAAATTCTTTGAAACGGTGTGAGGTCGAAGAAAACGCGCAGTGGACTTTTGTGAGCTACGCGAGGGTCCAAGTCGCGTCGGTTCTGCGTGAAAGGCTGCCCCGGCGGAGTCACAACCGAAACTACGGTACACAGACACCAAACCCGGTTGTTTTGGCCGTTTAACGATTTCCTAATCGAAGTCTGATAGGTCGCTAGCCACCTGAACAAGAGAACTTTGTTCGATTCCCCGACTGGCCAATCATCCTCAGTGTTACATGTGCCAAGCGCTGCGGCGCCACCAAGTTTGTCGAGGGAGGATAAAAAGCCAGGAGGCGACATAACTCCGGGCTCCGATTTTCGATATTTCAGAAAGAAAGGCCATAGTGCGTTGGCAATTGCGTGAAACAACATGTTCTACGAATGCCGTTCTTAAATATTACAAAATGTCGTTTACAAAGTTTCTAAATTTAATATTTTTTGACGTCACGAATAAAAAGAAGCGAGGAAATGAGGAGAGGGAGAGAAAAACTTCTATGGATACAAAGGTGCGTGCGCGCGGCAAATCTCTTTTCTTGGGTTGTGGTATTTTTTTTTTTTTTTTGCGTGTCTATGACTACACCTTGCATCGTTTTAGACAAAAAAAGAATCTACATTTGAGGTGGCAGTTCCCCTTTAATCTGTTCACCGAGGTATGTTCTTCACACGACCCGGAACACTCGATCGCACGCAGCGGAAAGGCTTCAAATTTAAATTGACAAGAGTTAGCCTTTTTTATTTTTTTCGCCACCCACTAAGCCAATGGCAGACGATTTAAAACCATTAATTTCAAATCCTCTAACCCTGAGAAAATCAATAAACGTATCTAAGAGATAGCGAAGACCACGGGGCAACCTGGCGATCAGACAAGATCGTCGGCAAAGGCCAACGATGCACCCTTCCGATCACCGAGCCGGACGCCGAAGTTCTCAACGACCCCTGCTAGAAACTGGTGCAAACCTGCATTAAAAAGCAGTAATTCTTCTCTTACTAGCACCAAATGTTGCCAAAACGTTACTACAATGTCACGAATGTAATATAACGCGTGGACATATCCGGGTACGTTATAGAGCCATTTGAAGAATAACGCAAGAGAAACGTTTTTCGTGTGACATTGTCTCAATGTTGCTGAATGTTGTGTAAAGTTACATTACATAGACAAATGTCTCAGAAGCATGGAATAAAAAATATTTGAGCAACATTTAGAAATAGCCTCCTGGTAAAATTTTCGCCACAATATTGAATCAATGTTTTGGCGGGAATGTTTGCCTAATGTGACGAAACGCGATACATTGCCACATCACGCCGGAATTGGTGAAGGATACACAAAAGTACTATTTAGAATCGCGGGAATAACAGAACTAAGTATAATTCAATGTTGATCCTTACGAAAACATTTTTATTTTTATACAAGCAGGGAGAAGGCTCTAATGTTTATAGTGACCAGCATATTTCAAGTGTGTGCTAAATTGTTTCTAAAGGGATTGCAGAAAACTACACAACAAAGGTACTTTCAAGAGGTTCATAACCTAATTGAATTTGAGTTCAAACGTGAATTTCGCCATATCTTTTGCAATCTGCACCGGCAATATCAAACGTTTCACAATCAAATAGTATGAAGTACCCAAAGTGTGAAAGGGCAGACTGCTTCTCATTTCCTCGCATTTCTTTTTTTATTCATGACGTCAAAAATTATTAAATTTAGAAACTTTGTAAACGACATTTTGTAATATTTAAGAATGGCATTCGTAGAACATGTGGTTTTACGCAATGTCAAACGTCCTATGGCCTTTCTTTTTGAAATATCGAAAATCGGATTCCGGAGTTATGTCGCCTACTGGCTTTTTATCCTCCCTCGATAAACTTGGCGGCGCCGCAGCGCTTGGCACATGTAGCACCGAGGATCATTGGCGAGTCGGGGAATCGAACAAAGTTCTCTTGTTCAGGTTCCTAGCGACCTATCAGACTTCGAAAAGGAAATTGTCAAACGGTCAAAACAACTGGGTTTGGTGTCTGTGTACCGTAGTCTCGGTTGTGACTCCGCCGGGGAAGACTTTCACGCAAAACCGACGCGACTTGGACCCTCGCGTAGCTCACAAAAGTCCACTGCGCGTTTTGTTCGACCTCACACCGTTTCAAAGAATTTGAGATTGCTGAAAGGGTCCTAAAGGAACTTCAAACTGGAAACTGATGCGTCGTCTGCTCACTTTTTATAGGCGGTACACGGAGGCAAGCAGTCGAAGACGCAGGCGAATACGACACTTCGGGCCGGGACGGAGGCGCCAGAGAAACTCGAGTTGCAGGACGACTCAATCTTTGAGGTCACTGCACAGGCTCCGATCAAGCGGGAACTTCAAATTCGGCTTTTGGAAAAGTTTGCTTACTTCACAAATACTTCGTTCACAAGTTTCAAATGTTGAGGATAATGTCCACGCATCCTTGTCAATCGTTTCAGATAATAAAAAATAATAATATGTCTTGACCTGTCCGTGCCCCTTTAATACCTCCGGCGAAATTAAGTGCGATTGCGTGGATTTTGACGGGCTAATTTCGAGGCTGGCTTACACCACTGAAGTCACAGTAGAAGTTAAACATTAAGACGTTTTACTTAGTAACACGGTTAATCTACAACCTAGTAATTTGTTCACCATCGAAGTTTTTCCTTCACCATTTGGATAGGAAGATTGGAGGGGCAGCGATGGCCTTGTTTCATCTTCTCATGGACACGCCGCTTGCTTTCTTCTCTGTGCCGGTCGCGGATGGCGGGCTCCGGGTTCATTGTTTGGCGACAATGATAGCCCTGATT